CAAGTGGGATGGATTGTGAGATCTTCGGTTGGAGAGGGGAATGAAACATTACTTATAAGGGTGTGAAAACCTCTGGCTACTAAGTAGGATGAATTATGAGATCCCACATCGGTTGAGAGGAGAACAAAACATTCCGTGTAAGAGTGTGGAAACCTCTTTCTAGTAGATGCGTTTTAATCATGAGGCTAACGACGATACATAACACGTCAAAGTAAACAATATCTGTTAGCGGTGGGTTTAGGCCATTACAACATGCCAAAAATCTACTAACGATAGGCTTGGGCTGTTATAATGGGAATAATCTCCAACCTGATATCGAGTCTAGCGCTGAGTTTATGACTGAATAATACATTTTCTTAACACACCGTATAATATTTAGGTCACCCGTTGAACATAAATCATCAAATCGAGGAATCATAGATAAAGTATATAATATAAAAACGAATAATTGGAAGATTTTGTTATAAAAGGTTCCTTAAAATGAGATCATTTATCCAAAGCTTCCAACGTAACACAAAATATAATTCCATTAAGAAAGTTTTGAAGTTAATTTTGATGAATGGCAACAAAACCCTCATCTTTCCGAGCAATTCTCAGCCTCTTTACATCCTCCACGAATTGCCTGTCCGTTTCCCAACAAAACCAAATCACCAAATTAGATCAACATAATTATGGTTTGCTAGTTACACTGCTCATGCAAATGAGATTGAAATTAATTTGATTCAAGTAAATAACCATGGTTATAAACTTACTTCCACGGGACGTCACCGACACTCCTCCAATTTTCGTCTCCATCTTTGTAAAATAGTGAGAATTCAGATTCATTCTCAAACAATTTCAATCCAGATTCACATTGTCGACCTGATCCCACCAATAAATATAGACAGTGTAAGTATTTAAATAAATAACTCGAACAAACCAAACTAACCTAACCAACAAAAACAGAGAGAGAGAGACCCAGACCAAAATTAAGAATAATCGTAATTTTCATATTTCGACCCATCGGTACAAATTTTAAAACTTTTCCTCCAACTGACCTCCGAAAATAATAACATATAAAAAGGTAAATTAGTTCTAGTACAATTAGACATATCTCGACTAATTCAAACATAGTTCAGTGAATAATCGACCCATAGAAAGAAATGAAACGTACCAAACATGTCTTCAAGCTGAAGCGCGAGACTGGAATAGGAGCCATGTTGAAAGATGCAAACTTTTCTACCAACAATGACACCATCCATATTGACTTTGACATAAGCCCAGCGCTGCTGTTTGCTCTGCACCACCTCCTCTGCCTCCTCCTCCTCCTCACAACAGTAGTAATCCTGTTCTACTACTACTACTCCATTATTATTATTACTATGTTTCATGTTTATGTTGATGTTCATGTTCATGTACAGATCCGCCGCCGTGTGATCCGCCGCCCCCCAGTTCATCCCATGCTCATCCTCCTCCCCATACCCTTCTATTGATCCCACCACCTCCGGCTGCAGCGTTCTCAGGCTCAGCCCCAAATCTATGCTCCCATTCTCCCCTTTCCCTTCACAGTAAACAGAGAACTGATTAGGCTCCATTATCTCAAATGGGTTTTGGGTAAAGAAATTGGGGATTTATATGCATATTATTTATATGGGATATGGGGATGATAGGGATGTAGGGACCTTAAGGCAAGGGGGGAGGGGGACAACAAAGCCCTCTTCCCATTACTACTCATTCAATCTTGTTTATCCTCTTGTGCTTGTGTGTGTGTGCCTATGCTACTCACTAGCTAGCTCACTTCATGCAAATGCAAGAACCCATTTACTGTTTGCCAAACCAAACAAGCCTATTGCCATGCCCACTTTCATGCTAACCAAAAAGCTACCTCTTTTGGATTCTCCACTACCTAACCTTCCTACCACTGTTTCTACTACTTTCTATGTGCCTACCCCCATCCCTACTTCCAGTTCCAATCAATATTCTCTCCTTTCAAATTAGAACTATGGTTTCGTTGTTTTTACGATAATATGTATTATGGATGAGAACACATTCTCTAACACGCCACTTCTAATGGAACGTGGTAGGTTTACTAAACGACCTAACCTTAATGATCTGTGAGTGTTGGGCAAGGTGAGATGAACCTCACATCAATCATGCTACCTGACTCAATGTAGAGTTGATTTGGATCCATTCATGTTGTTTAGTTTAATGGTAATGTAGTATGGTATCAAAGTTTTTCTCTAACCAATACCTCACCCAAACGAGTTTTAAAATTGTGAGAGTAACAACGATACATAACGGGTCAAAGCGGACAATACCGACTACCAGTGGGGCTTGAGTTGTTATAAATGGTATTAAAATCAGACATCAAGCGGTGTGTCAGCGAGGATGCTGAGTGTCACAATCGCACTCTTGATGGCAGCGGACTTGCGATTGTGCGGCACTCACTTTCCAATGACAAGTGAACTAAGTCAATTCGTTCTTATGTCGCCTACGACCAAATGATGTATTCTCGAGCCTTTGGCCTCGGTTTAAGAAGAAGGTTTTAGAAAACGATGGTAGAGAGAGATTTTCGAAAGAGAGATTTTGAAAGAAACGTTATATATGCAAGCAAGAGAGTAACAACAACGGCTGCTCACAGTACATAATTATTGATAGAGAAAAGTTGACAACTAGTCATATCCCCTCTACATTCTTAGTCATTTCATGTTTGATAGGCCTAGACATGATTTTTCCGAAACGTCATACTTTCTAGAAATACAAAAGTAAAACACTACAACATGTAAAGACATAAAAAGTTTGGCTTGTCATGGGCATGCGGCCGTGACACAGAGTTTCCAACGGGGTGGATCGTGAAATCTCACATCAATTGAAGAGGGAAACAAAGAATTCCTTATGAGAGGTGGAAACCTCTATCAAGCAAACACATTTTAAAATTGTGAAGTTGACAATGATACGTAATGGGCCAAAGCAGTGGACTTAGATGGGTACGGGTAACGTGAGAGACCCACTTATGCATGTTAATAACAAAATTTGGAGCTCAACCAGGTCGGGGTTTCATGTGTAATTTTACTTTTGATACTCTAAAATCTCTTAGACTCTTCTAGTAGACATGAGCCATTGTGTGTATCACACATTTGTTTACAACTTTGAACCTTCTTTTGGAAGAAAGTAGTGATGAAACACTGATCTGACAAGGAAACCCATAGTATTTATTACATACAATAAAGGATCTACTTAGATTCTCTGAGAAATCAGAAACCCGTTCCCTGGTGTGCCTTTATTGAATCGAAAGTGATGATGATGATTATGACAATCTTGTTGGTCTAATGTTATCTCTGCACCAAAATATGTTGTTGTCAGATGTCGCACAGAGCACACGTAATTAATTATCATGACATGTCCGAACTTGCCAATGGCCTGTCCAAAACATGTCTTCCACACAGATCACACACCAAATTTGATACCCAACATGTTGTGGAGATGATATCTGTGAAGGGGAAGGGGGCTTTGTTGCTTCAATTACTTCCGTCCTGACATTCCACCAAAAAACAAAGGCAGAGACTTTCATGCTGCGTAGCTAAGCTTATGGAGACTTGATGGGATGGTGAGGAGTCGATGTCATTTCTTTCCTTCTTTTTCGAAATCATGATTTGGGTGTCAAATTATTCAACGAGACAGTCGCACCACCGTAATTAGGTTAATTTGGGGACGAAGACTTAAAAAAGACAGCATTGTGTTTGTTTTTGCTTGGATTTTGAACACTTTTTGTGGTTGAGGGGACAGTCGTCCGTAGGGGAGCCCATATTCCCATTCCTCCTTGTCCCTTCCCTTCCCCCTTCAACTCCATTCATTGCACTCTTTTCTTTCTTCCTCTTATCCCAACGCCCATTGCCTGTCTTAACTATTATTCTCATATCACGTCCTCCTTAATTTGATTCTATTTTAGTAACACCTTTAACCACCCTTAACATTTATACCAAAATCATTCATCCATAAACATAGGGCATAAAGAGTATACGAGAGGCCCATTGAGCCCAGATCAGCTTCACGTTAGGCCCAAAATAAAACCCATCCTTCCAACTGTTCGGCCCATCTTCGTCCCACCGCGGCCCTGGTCTTCGGCCGCCATCTCCCCTTCCCCTTCCTCGCCGGAGCTTCCGGCTTCTGGCGGCGGCGACGAGGTGCAACATAATAGCGAACAACGTTTCTTGGGGAGCCTGTGATTTAGTGGCTTTTGGCGCTCAAAACGCCGTCGCTATCGCTATCGCTATCTTCTCCCCTAAGGTGCGTTAAGTACTACGATGCACTTCCTCTTTCGATTTTCCATAACCGGAGAAACGCCGAACTCCGCTTCTGCACAAATTTTGACGACCCTTTCCGGTCACAAATTTCATGGGCTAGATCCGGCGATTATATTATTTCAGTCGGGCATGGCCAGGTGAGGTGCAACCAATTTGGCTATCTGCCTTGTCATCATAACTCATTGTGTGCATTGAAACCTGAATATGAAAATTTTGCTAGTATGCCTTGTCTTATCTCGTTGTGTCATATGAAAGTGTATTTTATGAACCCTAGTTTTTCTCGTCACTCCATCTACGAAAAAATTGTGTGGTTTTCTGGCTCTCACAATTAGAAAGTTGGTAGTCTTTGAAGCTCCATTATCATTTTTGAAGTCATTGAGTCATGCCACACTGCACAAATTTGTGGCCACAGATGATGATCTTGTGTTCATATTTTAGGTGCTAATATGTCGCCTCTTTGGCTTTCGCAGAAACCTATTCCTGTTCACTGTGAGTCTTTCTTCAATCTTCCCCTATTCACCCGCGTCTCTCAGTTTCAGTTTCAGTTTGGCTGATCCTGTCATATGAGTGACTGATACTGTCATATGAGTGACTGATCTATCACCTTGGAAAGCTATTGCCTCACCAACTAGCTAACTAGACGCAAGCCCCTCTTCGAACAGATTCCTGCTTTTGCTCTTCAGCGTACAGGATATTAGCAACCATTTCTATAGGATATTAGCAACCATTTCTAGCTGTTGTTCCCTCCAAGAGCAGATTCTTATGCATTATTCACCCGTCCGCCATTTGATTAAGTTAAATCCGTATTTTTTAATAATATGAACTCTTATTTCCTTTTTCGAAATCATTATTACTATAATAGAATATATCCGGCCGAATACATAATTAAATTGGTTTGCGAGATCCTCCCAAATAATCATTCGGAATGTTGAACCATGGTCAAATTTCCAACTCAACTTGAGGCAGTTATATCTTGAATAATGGGTGTCGAGTCTTTGCTATCTTTTTTGTGTTATATTATCATAAAATGTCAAGTATGTGGAAACCGATTATAGGAGATTCACTTTGCAATGAAAGTCAAGTTTCTTTGCTTGAGTATCAATTTGTTGGTACATGAATATGTATATTGAAATGTTCCAAGTTCTAACCAGTCATCTTCATGCAGCTGCTGATAAGACTTAAGACAGGAGTGGAAATGAAGGTCTTGACACCCTTGAAACCATTCCCAATGCAGTTCCTGACGTTCTTATTGAACCTCCCATTGAACATCAACTGGCATGGCATACACTTTGGCCAGAGTCGCACAAACTTTATGATGATCATGGGAATGAGCTATTTTCTCTTTGTTGTGACCCCATGAGGAAGCTTGTTACTTCATCCTGTAAGGTATAATCAGTTCATCTATTGTTCGTAATTATAGAAAATAATTATTCATTTCTATTTAAATGCTAGTCAACCCAAAAGACAATGTCTTTTGTTTCTTCCCCTGCTTGAACAAAAAACAATAGTTTTATAGATCAAGGGAGGGGCACAGAAGAATCACTTGATCATGTTCTTGGAACCCATATGGTCATGAGTTTGCAACAGGCTCTAGGGATAAGACTGCGAAGATATGGGCTTTGACAGTCTAATCTTCAGTTAAACAAGCAGCTAACAACTCTGCCACAGTTCAAATCTAGTTTCACTGCTTTATAAACGGGTGGCTCTTGATCCCGAGAGCAATGGGCTCCCTTGAGTTTTGGAGTTTGTCTATCAAAAGAACAGAGGATGTTTGCTCATATGCAGTGTCTTAATCAATTTGTGTGCCATGTTTCCTCAGTCAAGTGTTTGGCATGAAAGCAAACGGAGAAGAGTGAATAGTGCAGGAAGCTGCAACTTGTATCCTGTGGCACGAACCACTGTGTGAAGAGTGTTTGAGGTAAATGTTCCTGTTATGAAAAGGTATGTATCTTTGTATTGCTTGTTTTTGTGGATTATGATCACTTTCAATTTTGCCCCCACAGAAAGTGGCACTCAACTGAAATTGTTTCCTCTTGTATTTGGGCTGCTGATCTGTATATTCATTTCCATTTCCATTTCCATTTCTGAAAAACTTTGGAGTAAATAACGAATCATACCTTCCTTACCTGTATTTGTGCAGTCTCTTCCCTTTTAAGTATTGATTTTCAAAATTGGTTTCTAAACCAACACAAACACAACTTTTTTAGTTCAGTTCAACAATGGTGGGATGGAAGATCTAACCATTGACTTGTAGGTTGATAATTGGTGTGCCTTATCTATGACTTGTAGCTTTGTCTAGAACCTTCTCAGCTATGATAAATGGCTTTAGTCATGAATGATCTAAGCATGAGTTGATTTATTCAAATATATCATCCATTATATAAATGAATAGTCAGAATGAAATGTAAAAGCTTTACCAGTCGGCAAAGGGTTATTATGGTAGGAGCATTTTCTAACAAGGTTGGCTTGGCCAATCGTAAAGAAGACATTAAGTCCTTAAAAAAATTGATAGATGAACCAATGAAACTCATCATCGGTGCTTTTATGAGTCTAATATTGAGGCGAACGCACATATTAATTGCCTTTTAAATAATGCTTTCCTGCGTGGATCCTGCATTGCATATATACAATATTAGATTCATCAGAGATAAGGACTGAAATGAAGGCAAGGGACCTTTACAAAGCCAAAAGTCAAATTTATATCATTATTTTTTGGTGGCTTTGAGTTCCATTCTACATTATACACATCAAGTTGTGATGGGAAATGCAACAGTAAGAACCTTTACAATAAGATTTCGTCTGGTTTTGGACAAAAAGTAGTGGAATTCCCAAATTCATTTCGATTCTTACCAAACATGATCTGAAAAAGTGGCATTCTTTGTGTCGTGGTTGCTTATGGGACATCTGAGTTGAAATTCGATTGATACGAATCGAGCATCATTTCGCCAACTACCTACTCCAGACAATGCGAAGTTCTGTATGTTAGTAATTATAAAAAGAGTAGTTAAAAGCAGAAAGTGATGACAATGCAAAGCAGCGTCTTTAGGAAGCAAAGACAAGAATGATAAGCTCAAACCCACATGGCGAACTTGATTATCTGAGTCATAAATCCTGCAACCTGTCTCCCTATCCAATAACAGAAACAAAGCTCGTACATAATGTTGTAAGAAAAGTTTCACCAGAAACTAAACCTGGCATTTGTATATTGTAACAGAGAATCACATGAAATTTTATAGTATTGAACTACAGATGGCACATGCAAATTTAAGACTTCAAAATGCGAAAAGTTTCAGACAAATTCCCACCTGAATTAACTGCTGATAATCTCACCAAAAGCAAGACTTCTGTCCAATCATAATTTTGAGATGAGACCTTATACAAAAAAAATCAACTTTGATTCGATTCTGATGTCATTTTATTGGGAAAGAAAAAGAAAAGGAATAAATGGCAATAACGATTGAGATGTTCCGAGACAGAGTGTGCATTCATTGGATTCCTTACTTTACAGCTTGAGAATGACGACAGGTACCTGGCTCAGTGTATGAAGAAGAAACCCTGAAAAAGGAAATAACAGATTTGGGAAGGGAGTTGAAACAGCTTTCAGAGAACAAAAGGCAGCCTCACGCCAACTTTGATCACAAGAGAATGGAAGATGTGGATGGAAACAAGCTAGTGGTGAACACCCTTCTAAACACCAGCCTGTTGAACATGAACCGCCTTTCAAGCAAGCCACTGAACATGAGCATTCTTTAATGAGGCTGCGAGGATTCAGGAACCTCCCCAAGCTGAAAAGGAAGCCTATGATTTTTATTTGTTCCGCATTCAGTGAGGGAGATGCAAACTGATCAGCAACATAGAATCTGTGAACACAATCAGAGTAACAAAAGTTTTCAGACAGAAAATGATGAACTGCCAGGAAATGATCAACTTCTGTTGGTATGAATGTGATCCCAATTGCTGGATGCTATAAGCAATTGACTGCAGGGAGGGCATTGTTACATAAGGAACTACAAGTATAGAAATCAGAAATAAAACCAAGCATTATCTAACATCAGCAAAAATCATAAATTTGAGGGAAGATAAGAGATCGATGCAAAAAAGCTTGCTAATTCTATAACACATTGACTGCACAAGCACACCATGTTTGAGTTCAGAACTTACAGTATAACTATAATATCCAGACCACTTTATAATTTTCTATGACAATAAACAAATAATATGACACACACGAACAAGAAGACAACAACAATTACTTATTATCTCTTATCTCAGATACATGCACAAACCAATAGATACCAATAACAAGACAGACAATAATATAGAATATTGTAAACAAAACCAAATACTTTATTCCAAAATTGTTTCTTCTTTCTGAACAGACTATAATGGTTGTGAAGTTCTCATCTGCTGCTTGATGTTGTCAGTGGGATGCTGAGCAGAACTTTCAGGCAGCATTACAGCAGCTGCTGGCATGGCTTGGTACTGAGAAGGTGCTAGAGGTTGAGTATAGTATATCTGAGAATGAGCAGGGTCCGAAAATTCATAGGCATAATTTGCAGTAGCGGATGTAGGTGCAACCGATTGGGATGGATGCTGAATATGAGAGTAACCCTGGTTGTAGGCAACATATTGTTGCTGATGCTGATTTGTCGGAACCTGAACTAACGACTGAGCAGCTGTAGTTGTCTGTTTGTATGCCTTGGCAGCCATTTCAGTTTTTGCAATAGGGGCATTCCTTGCGTGGTTGTAAGCTGCAGTTGTAACCAAAGTTGGATTGGGTGGGGTTTGGGGCCGGCCAGGAGGAATAGCAGTGGCAGACTCGCTGATGGAAGATTGCTGTACTGGCAAATTGCCATAAGCTTGGCCCTGTCTAGCAGGCAGGTAGTAGACTGGATACTGCTGCTCCATCTGATGGGGATGATGATGGGGCTGAGGAGAATATACAGGGAAGAATGCTGGAATGGGAACTGCACCAGATGGGTGCTGGTGGATGTAGTGTGCGCCTGCATGTATGAATTGCTGTGGTTGAGATGGGTGTTGCTGCTGTTGTTGCTGCTGTTGCTGCTGTTGCTGCTGTTGTTGCTGAAGTTGCTGTTGTTGATGTTGTTGATGTTGTTGCTGAAGTTGCTGATGTTGATGTTGTTGCTGAAGTTGCTGTTGTTGATGAAGCTGCTGTTGTTGCTGTTGTTGCTGAAGCTGCTGTTGTTGCTGAAGCTGCTGTTGTTGCTGAAGCTGCTGTTGTTGCTGAAGTTGCTGAAGTTGCTGATGTTGATGCTGATCGTAATGAGATTGTAACACATATCCTGATTCTTGGACCTGTTGTGGAATATGAACCCGAGCGTTTTGATCAGAAATATTGACTTCTGGATCTGAGGGATTGCCAGGAAGCCTAGCGGTTGAAGAGGGGATTTGATGAACAACTTGTTCTTGATACATCACAGGTTTTGAGCGAGACATCTGATTGTTTAAACTAGTATCACTGAAGAAACAAAATGCAACCGAAAACGCACAAACTCAGACAACCAACCAATTATCCCTCAGGAACAACCATCAAAAATCTAAACTAATTGACGATAAAAATTAAGCAGAATTATTTATGCCAGCGTGATCGAGAAAATCAAGCAATCCGTACCTTGACACCGAATCCGGAGAAGGAATATCAACAAGTCCACTTGATTTCTGCTGCAATTGGGGGGGCAGAGACTGTGGCTGAGGTGGTAGTGGTTGCCGGTATCCGACTGGCGCCCCGTGGTCCGATCTTTCGTCATCGGAGATCACCCGATTCATATAATCTCCCACACCTACTGCGGCAGCTAAGCTCACAGGTATTGCAGAGCCCGCCGCAGAAGCCACAATAGTTGTAGGTAAAGGAGGCGGCGATGAGAGTGCCGTGAAAGCTTCATCTTGCAGTTTTTGACCAATAATCATCTGAGAAAATTGCTCCTCAATTCCCACCTTCTGATCTTGAATTCGAACTGCACCAGCACCACCGCCACCGCTATTGACGCTATCCTCCACATGAACCCGGATCGGCGGCAAATTCGCCAGAGAAGGCGAAGAGGAGGTAGACCCAAATGACGATGTCGTCTCGATCATGGGTGAATCAGGGACAGAATGAATATCCTGTTTTCCACTCTTACCATTTCCCAACGACCCAGGCTGAGAACCATCCGCCTCCCTCGGACCCGAATCGAGGTTATTAACACCAACATCATCATCAAGCCCTAACAAGCAATTGACCGATGCAGAATCGGAAAAACCTCTATTGAGAAAACCGGCACCATTCAAAGCATTCAGAAACCAGTCCTCCGAACTAGTCGAGCTCTCGAGAATTGGCCCGATCGACTGAGAAACATCCGGCTTCGTCGGGAACAGAAACAACCGAAGTCGCGAGGGTTTTGCCGCAGGGTTAGACGAATTGCTGGCCGTCCGATCATACTCATCAATCATATTCTCCAAATCCTCATCGGTGGTAACAGAAATGAGAGAATCCAAGTCCTCATTCGGAAGCTGATATTTCAGGGTAAACGACCTACCATTGAGAAGCGTCTTCGACAAACGCGCAGTGAGGTCAGATAAAGACGTATGGCGGTCGACAACAACGATCCGAGTCTCACCACAGACATAGCACAGAGTCTTATCGTGAGGGCGAGGGACTATATGCCCGCCGTAGCTGCACATAAGACGAAGGCGGCCTGCTAGAGGGCCGGGGGCGAGAGGCTCATCCCACGTGTCCGTGTTGCGAGACCTCGGAGATGAGTCCAACGACTCCGGATAATTGAGCTGAGGCGATGCCGCCGTCGGAAGCGGCTGAGCGGTCGTCAGAGGCGGCGGTTCCATCATGGCGTGCGGCGGAGGAAGGGCGGAGTTGGAAATTGGGAGCAGAAAGCTAAGGGGAGAGAGAAAAGAAAACCCCAACTTTTGGTCTTTCTTAAAGAACACGGAGGACAGTAATTAAAAAAAATAAAAATAAAATCATTAACGCACTTTCCTGAAAATCCAGTTAAAATAATTAAACAAATTAGGGAAAAAGGTAAAATAAAGGCAATAATCAAGGGGGGCGTTGAGAGTTACAGTTACTCCGTTGGGGATGAGACAGTAAAAAAATTCCAATGTTTCCATAATTATTTGGGGCATCAAATGGGATTTCCATATAAATGGAGGGTCAACTTTTTATTCTTTTGTTCTATTGTTTTACGGTGGTAAAAAATCAAATGAAGGTAAAAGGGGGACAAAATAAACCGGACCGGGTCCATACGGGGTGACAGCTAAGCACACTGATTGGCTCCAGTTGGGTTGCATGGGAAGGTGTGTGGGCTGTAGCTGTTTGCTGGATCATCATTTTATTTTCTGAATTTTTGCTTTTATTTTTTTCTTTTTGTCCTCTCACCTCTCTTAAATATGTCGTCGTTTCGTTACTTTTGTGGGATTTTTCCCTTTTATGGAATTTTGCATAATAATTATACGGTAATTGTATTTTCATTTTTTTATTCAAAATGTTATATTTCTGTGGTTTTAAATAATTAATAATAATAATAATAATAATAAGGTTGGTTTACCGTAAATATAAAATTTAAAGTTCTAAAATACTTTGAATTAAAAATATTTTTCAAAAGTAAATTCAAACTCAATCGCTTAGGGTAGAAGGAATATGGATAAAATGAAATAATATCCTTTGAGTTAGAAGGTCAATATTTAAAGGATTTTTTTAATTTTGTTCGTTGAACTTAAAACTTAGGAGATTCAAAGAAAAGTGAAAACAAAATTATAATAAGCGATAAATAAATCAGGATTTAATTATATAAATATCTTTTCAGAAATTCCAATTAATTTTATTTATTGTTATTATTATTATTATTTAGGGCAAAATAGAGATTCAAACGCAGTCTCGGCCGCAATCTGGTGGCGGAATTCGGCGACTTCTTCAAATTAAAACATGAAATGGAAAAAAAAAAAAAAAAAAAAAAAAAAAAAAAAAAATCTGATGTCGGCCACAAAAGTGTTCATGAAGGGATATACAAAGGCGTGGATTAGTCTCCTTTATCCTTATTCTAATATTTTCAACTCATATTTATTTCTTTAATTTTTTATTTATAATTTTCTGTCGAGAAGAAAAACATTTTAACTGAGATATCTCGTTAAAATAAGAGAGAAACGAAAAGAAGAATCAATAAAATAAAAAGATTCTATGTTATATCGTATCAAAAAAAAAAATATAATATATTATTCAGATATCAAAATATCCGTATCTCGATCAACATTCCACACTCATTAAATAATATAATATAAGTTATTCATTTAATTAAACTCGACCAATATTTGTTGATNAAAAAAAAAAAAAAAAAAAAAAAAAAAAAAAAAAAAAAAAAAAAAAAAGAATAAGAATTGCAAACCCACAGGCAGCAACCAAGCTGCAAACCACGCGTCTTCCCATTGGCCACCTACTTCGACGAAGCTACTATTATGAGCGCGTATACAGACATAGCGCGTGGGATTCGAAGATGCCGTGCTGTAAAGCGACAAGGTTTTGCCAACTGCCAAGGCAATGTGAAATTACTTAATTAAACCTTTTTTTTTTAAGAAAAATAAAAAACAGTAAAAATAGAGATTCTGATGCAGAGGGAAATCAGGTGGTTGTAGTGGACATACTTTTTTTGATGTCATTGACCTGATCTCGCGCCACGTAAGACCGTAGAATTTTAAATCTGGAAGCTACCACGTCACCTGCATCCCGCCTTAAATTCTCCGAATATTCTCATTTACCATTAATTTAATCTCAAATTTAAGCCCCATATTACATGCATCTCAACTTTATACGCTTATTTTTTTTATTTATTAGCTCAATAACTTTAGGGGTGTGCCTAATTTATATTTTATACTTTTTAATTATATTTAAATTTACCAATTACGTCATTCCGGGCAATTAAATTGCACAAAATTTGGAAAAGTTCTCTAATGGACCTTAAGAGGTTATTATTATTTCCATTTAAATTCGTTCAGAAAGTATTTTAGAAAAGGAAATAAATTAGAAGAGAATAAAAAAATAAAAATAAATATAAATGCATTCCATTCAAGAGAGGGTGGAGACATTAATGCATAAGCTTTGGTCATCATTCTAATAATAACGGTCAATATCTTATTTTTTAATCAATTTTTCTAGTTAATAAGATGGGGTTCGAGATATGAACTCGATCGGCCCGAACTGGATTGTGTTTGTAGGTATATAGGGAAGTATGTGGAGTATGAAAGTGTAGTGTAGGTGTTAGTCCTTTTTTCCTTTAATGGTTATGCAATCGGATAAGATGAACTCTCTCATTATTCGGTCTTCGAAGCAACCCTTCCCTTAATGACGTGTTGTTGACACGACATCTTTTTATCTCCTTCTCTCTTCTTCCCTCCAAATAAAACATCAATACCTCCATAATAATTTAGTTTTTTTTTTTACTTTTTATATAAAACTAATTAACGAAGAGAGGTTATTAGTTTTAAAAGTAATTCAAGACAACTATATGACATAGTTATATTACGAAAGAATATCGAGATCATCATGTAGCATAATCAAATTTCAAATCTTTACTAAAATCGTAAAGATGAAATATTACGTAGTTTATGACCATAGCTATAGCTATAAGTTATTATAGTGATATTCTTTTAAGGTAAGGTGTGAATGTATGATTACATGCCATTGAGCCAAAAAAAAAAATAACACAAATATCAAAGTAAGTGGGAGGGATATTACATTTGTAAGCACTCTAAGAAACAGTTTGTCAAACCACTAACCAAACCGCTTTTCTCTCCGTCTCCCCAGCTTTCTACCTCTCCCCGAAAATATAACAATTAAATTTATGGCTAATACATATTGTCTATTTTAGTCTATTACATATCATCATCATTAGCCTTACGATCTAAAATGATTTGTTTATCTCTTAAGCCGATTTAAAATTTTTCAATAAATTTAGATCTACCTTTATTCGTGTCGATGTCATCAAAGAGCTAACATCTTTTTTCCATTATTCGTCATTATTTTCTTCAGGTGGCAATGGAAAGTGAGGAGATTCGATTAAAAAAATTAATTTCTCTCTAAATTTAAATTAAAAACAAAACATGGTTACCCATTATATTACTGAGAAATTGCCTCAATAACTCATAAATGATAGAGATTATACAAAACTCTAATTTTAATTACATTATGTGACAAGACATAGAGTTGTTATGTATTTTAATGGAAACTTGATAGGACAGGTGAAAGACAGTTTATAAAAATTCAAATAAAAAATAATTAAGATTCTGACATTTCACCTTAAATTAGCTTTAATATCATTTCACATTAATACTTTTTGTTATTTCTTTAAATAATAAGTTTGTCTCTGATTTTTTTTTATTTATTTATTTTACTTTTCAAATTTTATTTTTATATTTTGGTAAAAAATTTTGTTTAAAAAATAGTAGTTTGTTTGATGAAGTTTTTTATGATAAAAAAAAAAGAACAAAATTGTTATTAAAAAAAATTAAGGAATTCATTTATTGTTTTTTTTTTAAAAAAATTATTGAGTAAATGTATTTATCTTAATAAATAGGTAAAATTATTGATCACTAGACATTGTTGTACAAGATAATTAACATGGACCCACCAAGTTGGCAACTTGATGATAGGGATGATCCATCACTTTGAAAAATATCTTCCAATATATATCTTAATTCCTTATCTCATTTAGCGTATCAATCCTCACAATTCATGTATTTTTGTCTTTAATTATTTAAACTTAAATATTAATGTTGCATTTCAAACATATTTTATGAGATCTCACGTCGATTGAAGAGAAAAATGAGTGTTATCGAAAACGCTGGTCCCAAAAGAGAGTGGATTGTGAGATCCCGTATATCGTTGGGAGGATAATGAAGCATTTTTTTATAAGAGGGTGGAAACTCTCCTTATTAGACTTATTTTAAAAACTTTTAGGAGAAGTCCGAAATGGAAAGCCCAAAAAGAACAATATGTGCTAGTGGTGAGTTTGTGTTATTACATGTTTAGTATAATTTAACATCTGAGTAAAAGAAGAGTACATGAATAAATTGAGACCACATCCACATGAAATAAATTCTATACCAATTATGTACGATATTCTAAAGATAAAATAGTTAAGACAGTCACTACCTATATCAAATATGTGCACCTTTTTGTTCGGTGGCTCATAGTAATTTTTAAGAACTTCAAAGTTAAACGTGGTTTAATTAGAGCAACTCTTAGAAGCAAGGAGTAAAAAACGTGACCACGGAATGCATTAGGACACTCACCTAACTGTTTAACTCTCACTAATCCGTTCCCGTCAGTAACTGACCCAACCGTTTGATTAGTGTTAATAGGCCCATCCTCCAGTGGCCGACTTCAACTGCCACAACTACATGTTCCAAGCCCATTCAATGAAACATTATAAGAATTTAATATTCTAGAAATAATTGTAAGGTTAAATTACAATAATAATTTAATTCGTATCTACTAAATTTAAAATATCAATAATAATTTAAATCTTACTCAACTAAATTTGAATATAATAATTCATTACTTTTTATTTTTATTGTAACTTTTTCAATTGCTAGTGGAGATTAAATGATAAACCTATAGGACCATATTAGCAAAAGAAAAAGACAAATTAATTTAAATGACTAAATTAAAAATTTTATTAGAAGTATATGACTAAAATTAAGATTTATTAAAACTATAGGCAAAAATTAAATAATTAAAAAATATAAAATTCAAAATTAGGACTAAAGTGATATTTTAGTATAAAAATTTGAAAAGAAACAAAAAATAATAATAAATTCCCATGAATAAACGTCGTAGCTGCGCGTTCGGAACCCGCCAGGGTAGGGAGACATTAAAATCACTACCAGTACGCGCGTAGAAGAACAGTAAAAGCTCCCAAACGACGAGACTCGCCAATCGACGAGTTGAACATGTCAAACTCGTCGTCTGTATTAAAAACTGGCATTCACCAAGAAATTTCGTCTTCTTAACCAATCTACATTTCGCCGTATAAAGAGATGAATCGCTGTTTCACTATTGGATTGAGTCACTGTGAGGCATTTTCATTTTTGTCTGTAAGGTAATTAAGAAGTTTCCAAACTTTTCTTCATTTAGTGGTTGGAATTTGATTTTGACAACTCCTTTTCATTTCCATTGGAGATTGGACTTTTTTTTTTCTTCCCGAAGGAGAAAATTAAACGAAAAGAAAAAACAGAAAAGCGTGTGGAATCTTTGATATCTTATATATTCCGCCACTAACTAAGCGATGATTCATTAGAAGATTTCAGAAGCACATCTGTTCGTTAATCAATGGCGTGGTGGAGGAATTTCGTTTCGTTCTTTTCCTTCCGCAGTTCCTCCAGTAGATTTCAGGTCCGTTTTCTGTAATAATTCTGTGAAGTTGAATAACTTTGTTATTTTAAAACTGGTTGAAATTTGCCTTCGATTCTTTGGTTTTGAGCGTTTTTCAGGGTTCAGATGCTGCAGCACATACAATCAAATCCCATGGAGCCAGGGTTGCTAAGAATCATTTACATGACTGGCTGATTCTGCTACTACTTGTTGTGATCGAAGTGATTTTAGTGTCTGTTCATCCGTTTTATCGCTATGTGGGAAAGGATATGTTGACAGATCTTAAGTTTCCTTTCAAAGATAATACAGTGCCTGTCTGGTCTGTACCTGTAAGTCTAGCCTTTATTCTCTCTTCCCCTCTATTTGTTTGTTTCCACTTTTTGATAATATTCCTAAGATAGTTCATATTATGGAGGAACAATCGATTTGAAATGAGTTTTTAAGTTCTTAAAAACACTTTTGAAACGCTTGAGAAGCGGAATTTGACACAACCTGATGTGTCTTTTGATTGTATTGATTCAATCCGTTTAACTTTTGCAGCCAAGAAAGCGAGGTTTTGTCTATGTTTTAAACAGAATAGGTCTCTGTTACATTCACAAGTCATATTATATGTTCAATCTTAGCGGTGTAGTTAACAGTGTTTGTTTGTTTCCCTTTTGTTTCAGTTGTATGCTGTGATATTGCCTATTTTCATATTCTTGATCGTCTATATACGACGGAGGGACGTCTATGATTTTCACCACGCCATTTTAGGTACCTTCTTTATGCAACTAAGTTACCCATAAAAAGCGATTACGGGCGTGTTTGGAATGAGTTTCTAAGTGCTTAGCTAAAAACACTTTTTTAAGCTCTTAGAAAGTCATTCCAAATATGTCCAACAATTTCACTAATATTTTACTAACCATCCGTGTTCATTTGTTCTTATAAATAGGGCTCTTGTTTTCTGTGTTGATCACTGCTATTATCACGGATGCTATAAAAAACGGTGTTGGTCGCCCTCGACCAAACTTCTTTTGGCGTTGTTTTCCCGATGGAATAGAGGTACAAAATATGTCACTTTTGTAGAGATTTAAACAAAACATACATTTGTTAGAGCTATCCTTATAAAGCGTGACGTTTTTCTTATCGATTCAGGCATACGATCGAATGGGAAACGTGATATGTCACGGGAAAGAGAGCGAAATAAGAGAAGGACACAAGAGTTTCCCGAGTGGCCATACTTCTTGTAAGCAAATGATTTGTAATGTGCGCTTGAAGGATATGTTGGTGTTAGTGTTAGTGACATGTTTTTTGTTTTGTAGGGTCCTTTGCAGGGTTGGGATTTCTTGCACTGTACATATCTGGAAAAATCCAAGCATTTGATGGGAGAGGACATGTTGCAAAACTATGCCTTGTATTTCTCCCTTTGCTTGGTGCTGCACTTGTGGGAGTTTCTCGAGTGAATGATTATTGGCACCATTGGCAAGATGTGTTTGCTGGAGCCATTATAGGTTTCTGCTAAAACATTACAATCATCAACTGATTCACAGTGATTGGTTTTTAGATTTCTCATGTCTTTTGTGAATTTTAATGATAGTTTCTTTTGACAGGATGGGTCGTTTCTGCATTTTGCTACCTTCAATTCTTCCCTCCTCCCAGTAACGATAAAGGTAATAATAAACGGAAAGTATTCTAGAAACATTTTTTTAAGTACTTGAAAAGTCATTTTAAGTAGACCCGAAATACACGCTTTACGTTTATGGTTCAAAAGTGAAGATTTTGAAAACGTCGTTTAAATGTTTCCAATGTTCTTGAACGTAGTAGCTCGTTCAAAAGCAGCGAAAACATGACCAAAGTCAAACGCACTTTTATGTGTCGATCTAAGCTTAGTTTGTAGTGTTTATTGTGGCCTAAAGGATTGTGTGTGGTTGTAGGATGGGGTCCATATGCTTACTTCATAGCACAGGAGGAGTTCTATAGCCGCAGGGATAATGCTGCAGCAGCAGCAGCAGCTCAATCTGCGGTGATTGTTGATGCGCCAATTGCAGGGGGACAGCCAAGACCTTTCCATAACCAAACCTACCATCAAATGGAAATGGGGGCTGCCCAATAACCCTTTTTCTTTCTTCTTCTCTTTGTGTATCTTTTCTTTTTTGTAATTTAGTCCCTTGTATTTAAAAATATTCAATTTAGCCCTTCAACTTACGAGAAACGTGAGGAACGATATATTTTTTTTTCCGAGAAAATGAAAAATTTGAGTATATTTTCTTAACCAGTAAACAGAGGATATAAAAGTCATTTCCCTTTATTTATAATTTTATATAAGTTTAGATGGTATATGAAATTTGTATTTATTTGGCTTTTGAACTTTTTAAATTAGTTTATTAGATCTCTGTGTACCGACAAATTAAAAAAAAAAAAAAAAAAAAAAAATCTTTAAATTTGAATTTTATGTTAAATTTATAAGTTAAACAAATTTGAAAATTAAGAAAAAGGAATTCTGTTGCACCTTTACTGTTACTGCAACAGCCAGTCTGATCCCCTACCTTTTAAAGAAAATAAAAAATAAAATAAATTTCATATTCTACTTTTTTTTTAAAAAAAAAATATATAAAATTTATTTTAGCTTTTACATTTAATATACTTTTTGAAGTTTGATATTTGTTTAGTGGAGGTACAAAAAGGAAAATAATATATTACTGTCATTGTTATTATTATATTATTTAATGTCCCTTCCATTTCCATCTTTTTGTTTTCTTTTTTAAATAGAAAATTATAATTTAAACCAACAACACAAATGGGAACATAACCCATTTCAGGATAATTATTTATGGAATTAAATTTAAAATTATAATTGATTTGATTTTACAGTAATAGCAGGAATTATTGGAAAATATTTATAACATTTTTGGATAAATCTGTTCGAAAGGGAGCTCTTTTTTCCATAGCTTTAAACCCGCTATGAACTTGGGTTATCTACTCCAAATAGTTGAATAAAATAGAAAAAGGCATTAAATGAAATGGTTTAATTGAGGGTTTATTAGGGGAAATGATTTAATTAATTATAAGAGCAGTTGCGGTTTGGATTTGGCACCTTCGCAGTTCCCACTCCTCTTTACCGCCACGCGCTTTTCCATTCAAATTTCGTAAGGGATTTGGTTTATCAACTTTCTCTCCATACCTACCTTTTCTCTTCCTCTTCCTTCTTCTTCTTCAATCTGGAATCTACTGGTAATTTCTCTGCTCTCTACCATTCTTTCTTCTTTGTTTATGGCGTTTTTCTTCTTCTGTTCTGTGTTGCCTTTCTCTATTCACTCTGCGGGTTCGTCTTTCACTTCATCGCTGCAACATGTGCTTCTTTTTCTCCGATGAGATGAGATGAAGTGAAATGTGGACAAATCTTTCTGAACAAGTTGATTTGCTGAATTACTTACTAACTTCAGTATTGTGTTTCTTGTTTCTTGCATCTTCTTTCACATTTCTTTGAATGCTTTTCTCTTTCACTATTCTGCGGTTGTTTGAAGCTTTTTCGGTGTGTTTTGAGCCTGATAGCAACTCTAGAGTTGAGATGAGTTAGGTCGGCGTGGTGAGTTTGAATGCTCCTTGGACTGTACGTTCTACTCGTTCTCTACGTTTAAGCTTGCTAAACGAATTTCCGTTGGAAGAACTGTGACACATTTTCGTTACATGAAGCACACATTTACTTTTTGCTGTAATCTCACTGTTATGCATGCTTGGTTATTCTCCTTCTGTTTGGCATGAATAGTCTACTAGGGTTCTAATGTATAAGTTCTTTTTTTCGTCTTGTTTGATCCTCGTCACTTTACATCATTTGCCGCTTTTCTCTTGGAAAATTCCTTGTGTAATATGAATTTCATGATAAATTTCATGGTTATGACTGATTCTGATCATACTTTTTCTGCTTTACTTTTATACAGTTTATTTTTGTGTACGTGAGAAGCCCCATGTACTGTGCACTAATTCAATTTCTTACGTGATAGTGCTTAAATTACATCAATATGTTTTCTTTACCAATCATTTTCATTTTCTTATGTTATCAGTTCACGGACAAAATGCCAGAAATTCAGTTGGGTACACATACTGTGAGGTCTCATGGAGCTCGTTTAGCAAGAATCCATATGCATGATTGGTTAATCCTTTTGCTTCTTGTGGTGATAGAGGTTGTGTTAAACGTTATCGAACCATTTCGTCGCTTTGTTGGACAGGAGATGATGACAGACCTCAAACACCCACTGCAAGATAATACTGTTCCCATTTGGGCAGTTCCAGTATGTTTTGAAACTGTCTTTACTAGTATTATAGTGAATTCTATGGTCATTTATTTTCCTAACATTATTGTGAAAGTATAAAAAATAAAATTTTGTTTTTCCTGTTACAGATAATTGCGATATTGATACCTGTTATTGTATTTCTTATCTACTATTTCATTAGAAAGGATGTATATGATCTCCACCATGGCATATTGGGTATCTTTTCTTCCTCTCTCATTTATAATCATTGGAAAACCTTGTAGTTCTGTTCAACCTTGCCAAGCATAATATTTAACGATTGCTCATGCTTGTTCAGGACTATTGTTTGCTGTTTTGATAACTGGAGTAATGACCGATGCTATTAAGGATGCTGTTGGTCGGCCACGTCCAGACTTCTACTGGCGCTGTTTCCCCGATGGCAAAGGGGTTTGTTTTTCATTTTTGTATTCTCCCTTGGTTTTCATACTTGTGCACATGGAAACGTCTTCCATGTTCCTATGCCCCTACCCTTGTTTCTTAACATTGGCACTCATTATAATATTGGTGCTTGATATATGCAGGTGTTTGATCGAAACACAACCGGTGTTTTATGTACAGGAGATAAGAATGTTATTAAAGAAGGATATAAAAGTTTCCCGAGTGGGCATACTTCCTGTAAGATAGACGTATACTTCTGAATTATGTTTTTTGACTGTCTGTGAGTGTCTATTTTACTATTTTTTAGTCATTATTTATTTACTTCAACAATTGCACATGCTACATAGAGTAGATCCAATCCCTGTGCAAGTGCAACATGCTTTCCTTATTTTTAATTATCACTCAAAAGGGCTATGATATTCAGCATGTTGCTGAGGGAACTAAATAGCAACCATTTATGTTTATATTTTCTCCTGGCAGCCATCTGAAGAAATGAAAAGTGTTAGTGTGCCAATTCCCAGGGACAAAGGAAGCTTCTTACTATTTTGTATCAGCTTTGCTTCTTCAGCACCTGTAATTTCAGTTTTATGGAATTAGACACATTTCCTTTGTTACTTTCAGTGTTACAAGCGTCTTATTCATATCCCATATTTTGGTAGATGATTGAATAGAAATATACTTTTATCTTTTTAAAATTACCAATCCAGTCTATCCAGTCGCAGATTGACAATGTTGGCCTAAGTCTTATCACTCCTTTCCCTTTGTACTTGAAGCCTAAAAATTCTTTGGATTGAGAACACTTAACTTTGCATCTTTTTCTAAAGGTTCAAAGTCAGAGCCTTTCAAAAAGATTATGATATCCAACCTAGACCTATTAAGGCTTTGATTTTTTTCGCCATAAGTAGTAATTCATGTTTTGGATTAATGCATACATAGCTTATTTGTGACAAACGCATCACCTTTGTCTTTTTTCTTCTTTTCAGGTTATTTTCTCACACTTTTGTTTATGCTTATTAACGTAGAAAGCTGTCGATATGCAGGGTCTTTTGCTGGCCTTGGATTTCTTGCTTTGTATTTGTCTGGGAAAATAAGGGCATTTGACCAAAGGGGCCACGTTGCAAAACTTTGTATTGTCTTCCTACCCCTGCTTATTGCAGCTCTTGTTGGTGTCTCTCGAGTCGATGATTATTGGCATCACTGGCAAGATGTTTTTGCTGGGGGCCTTCTTGGTTAGTTAATCCAAATCTTTATTCATTTGCTCTGACTTTCATACACGCTCCTTTTGCTTTTTTCTTATCTGAAGCTTCTTTGCAGGACTGACAATTGCTTCATTCTGTTATCTGCAATTCTTTCCAGCGCCTTATCTCATTGATGGTATGGTCCACAATATCGTTAATGTTATGACAGTAGCTCTACTTTTACATTCAATGAAGCAATAATTTGTCCATGATAAATTTATCATTTCTTTTTCCCAATAATCGACTTTTTAACATTTGTTCCATGTTAGTCCTACTTTTGATTCTTTGACCGTGCATTGAGATCCTTCTCGCATGGTTCAAAGTAGTTATTTTTTATTCTCTGTTTTATAACTTTATAACCCTGTTAACAGAAATATTGATTGGTTGGGTGATAACATAATCTTTGGACTAAATCTTCCTCGTGCAACATTAGGTAGCATTATAAAATTCTAAATTTAGCTCGGATGTTAATCTGGATTATTGAGTTGTCGGATCTGGACCTCATTAATTATCACAGATTTTATTTGCCCTAGTCCTAATTTTAAATCAAGCTTAGATTGTTGATTTTTAATGTTGTTGACCGGAAGAAGTGGCTGTAAGATATAGTTGTTTAGATAAATGAATATTATGGCAAATGATCTGTATAGATGTGCGCATATAGAAAAGATAGGATTTGTCTACTTTCTTCTTTTATCGCTTGCACAGCTAGTTTTACTTTTCCAATGTATGAAAGAAAAAAAAAAAAAAAAAAGTTGCTGCTCTGAACTACCCATTGTATTGTAGTCAATTATGGCTTTAGTGATTCAATAGATGATTTCCGTCGACCAACATTGGTTGTTGCAGTGCATTATAAGATGATGTAACCATCCGATCCATATATTCATGGAATTCTTCTGTAATCTGCGGCTTGTTATGATGGATCCCAAGCTTTTCCTACTGCCTTCGTTAGAATTTTTTTATATTCTGTTCAGCCGGTTCAAAACTTGTAACAATATCCTATCTGTAGTCAACAACTGTAATTGTCTTTCTAATTCTTGTATGCAATTGCTATAAAAGCAGTCCTTGAGCATTAATGTCTTTCCAAATCTGATTCTTGAGCATTGATTTCGTTCTTGAACTAACTCTTTTGTAATTTTGCGCTTTTTATTTGCAGGTTGGGGACCTCATGCATACTTTCAGATGTTATCTGAGTCTCGCAACGAAGTTCAAGCGTTGTCTCCGAATGCCAATAATATTAACATGCAGCAATTAGAAATG